GGGGGGGGGCAGCTCTCCAAAAATATTTTGAAAGTATAAGCAACCACTGGTGAGGGGAAATGGATGAAACAAAATGGAATTGTTAAAGCCTATTTGCATGAGCCTCCTTGGGAAACCTCCAGCTCTCAAACCATGTGGCGAATTGTACTTTTGTCTCCCCTAACCTTCCTCCCCCAGCACCCATCTCTTGCTCAAACTGACAGCCCCCAGCTGCTTTGAAGTAGGAAAAAAGTATAAAGAACCAGAGATGCTAATCACAGGAGCCCCCACAGCACCTCTCATTGGACCCTGAAGAGCATTTTCAGTGGTGAAACTTTATCCATGTCTGATGCAGATGTGCTTGAGGAATCATCCCAGAAGGCCAGGAACACATCAGGGGGCTAAGCCCCCTCCAGGCCCCCTCTAAACGGCACCCATACTTTGCTGGACCCTCCCCTCCCCTCAGCCTGTCCAGGCCTCCCTGGAAGCCGCTGAGCCCCAGCTCCCCAGCCCTTTTCTGGGTCCCTCCCTTGCCAGTGAATCTTCAGATCACTCCTCAGGCAGGACTCCGCATCCTTTCCTGGCAACTGGCAGGCTGGTTCCTCAGGCCTCATCTCTCCTTACAAAAAAAAAAAAGCCCCTGTTGAGCCTTGGCACAGCTGTTTCGCTGGGGGAAGGCACCGTGGATTCTGGGTCACGATTAATGCCCGACAGATGCCATAGAGACTGCTTATTCCTCACTGCATCAGTGACAGGGTGTCAAGAGTCACCTTGGGAGAAGAGGCTTTATTAGGAAGACACCAAGTAGTGAATTTCTTAATATAATAATGTATTGTTCATTAAGTGACTGCTTCAGAGGCAGGCAATGGGAAACCACCTCTGAACGTCTCTTACTTTGAAAACGTCAGGTTCAGCTCTTGACGTTATTGACGGCTCTTTCCACGGCCACCAAGGCTCTGCCCAGAGCTTTGGGGTGGCTGGCGCCCACCAGGAGAGTGTGGAAGTTCTTGACAAGACCTCCTTGCAGCCTGGAAACCCCCTCCCCCCAGTGGGGGAGTGTGAACTGCAGGAGCCCCATAACCAGACCAACGCCGTGCCTTCTCCAATGCTAGAATACCCATCTGTGAGTCTTGCTCACATTGCTGTTGAATGCTGAAGTCTTGTGGCTGATCAGCGTGTATCACTTTATTTCTGTTCTGCCCCCTTTCGAGACTGGAGAGGCAGAGAATAGGGCTGGGGAGGTGGGACTCAGCAGCTTGCTAATGGGAGGCCCGGGTCGGCCGTGGAGAGGGCAGGGAGCACGCCATTCCTGGTGATGACATGGACTGGCCCTTCCTTGGCGCTCTCCCATCCTGTGCCTGGCCAGCAGGGTCCAGGCTGCCTTAGGCTGCTATTAGAAAAGGCACAAAAGTTTTGGGGCATCCCCGGGGAAGGAAGATTTCAGAACTGAGGGGGTGACAGAGGTACTGCTCGCCTATGCATCCTTGAGGGCCTGATTTGAAAAATATGTGATTTTTCTTAAGGCAGCACATAACAGCTATTTTTGCAAATGGGATCCTTCATTGATGTGAAAATTTCTCTCCAGTTCCTCAGCCAAAAGTTGTAGCAAAACTCTCACAGCCTTTCCTGATGTGGTTCCCCAGTAGCACTGCAAAGCCACCTGGTGTGTGGGGGATGTTAGATTCACTGGTATAGTAAGCCAGGAATCTCTGTCATATTTAGCGGACTGCCCAATGGCTACACGCAGCAGTGGCTTCTCTGTTCTGCATGTGCTAACAAAGTTACAGAGTTACATGGAGCCACTTGTCAGTTTCAAACGAATAAGACTCCCTTATTCAAGGAACTACATTCTAGATAATGCAGGTTGAGAGACCGTGATAGAATATAAGTTAACTAGCTGGATATATGCGGATGCAGAATGCCAAAGATGGAGAGAAACATGCTCCTTTGTGTGTGTGGGAGACAGAGAGAATGGAAGGAAGGAAGGAAGGAAGGAAGGAAGGAAGGAAGGAGGCAGTTCCCCGAGAGTATCAGTCTACACATCGAAGGGACAGAGGCAGAAGAGTAAACAGGAAGAGTGCTCAGTTTGCCTGTCTGTCTGACTGTCTTGTAACCCCCCTCTGGAGGCTGAGGCTAAGATACAATGTTTAATCCTCCTCTTCTAATACCCCCTCTCAATGTCTTGTGACTCAACTCACAGAATTCATCTTGTTTATTTATTAAATTGGATTTGCTAGGCCACCCTTCCCTACAAGTAGGGCTCAGGGCAGCTTACAACAAGATAGTATACAATAAATAAGTTAAAACCAACATCAGGCCTTCCTAAAAACAAGTCAGTAAATAACGCACATTACAGGATGGCGAAAGAAAAGAGAAAATTCAGCTCCCCAGCCCCCCGGGGGGGGGGGA